GCAATCCTGTTATAGGAGCTAGATCAACAACACTTTTAGGTGACCGGCCGTACACAACCTCAGAAGGAGTCTTCCCTGTAGACCTATTAACTGAATCGTTGAAGGCAAGTTCAACTTGTGGTAGGATAAGATCCCATTGCTTTAAGTAGTCTCTAACTAGGCTCCTCAACAAGTTGCCTAGGCTTTGGTTAACCACTTCAGTTTGTCCATCTGTTTGTGGGTGAAATGTACTGCTATATTTTAGGGTAGTACCCATACGCTTCCATAAAGTTCTCCAGAAGTGGCTAAGGAATCTTATGTCATGATCTGATGTGATAGATCTTGGCAATCCATGCAACCGAACAACCACTTTGAAAAACAAGTTAGCTACATGAGAAGCATCAGAAGTCTTTTGGCAACCAATAAAGTGGGCCATTTTAGAGAAATGATCAACCACAACAAAAATAGAGTCATTACCCCTAGCTGTTCTTGGCAACCCCAACACAAAATCCATAGTAATATCAGTCCACGGTGCTTCTGGTATGGGTAAGAGAAGATACAAACCTGTATTTTGATGCTGCCCCTTAGATGTTTGGCACTTGTGACATCTAGCAACATAATAGAACACATCCTTTTGTAGCCTTGGCCAAAAGTACCTTTAGGAGACTATTTCAAGAGTCTTCTTGCGACCAAAATGTCCCTTGTAATGCAAATCAACAATGAGTAATTCCCTCAAGGATCCTGATGGAATACACAACCTATTGCCCATGAATAAGTAACCATCATTCCACACAAACTTGGCTCGAATATCCTTGTTGCCTGCTGTATAGCTTCTACAAATAGGGCCAAAATAAGGGTCATATTGGTATTGGTCTTTGATGGAGCTGAATCCCACAACATTAGTAGACATTGTTGACACCAAGTGAACTCTCCTACTAAGAGCATCAGCTACCCGGTTTTGCTGTCCAGCCTTGTGCTTCAAAACAAAATTATATTCTTGTAGAAAGTCAACCCATTTAGCATGTCTTCCCTTTATCTTCTGTTGGGAGTTAAAGTGTTTCAATGCTTCATGGTCTGAATACAACACAAACTCCCGTTGGATAAGATAATGCCTCCAAAACTTCAACACTTGCACAATGGCATAAAACTCAACATCATAAGTGGAATACCTCCTTCTAGCATCATTGAGTTTCTCACTAAAGTAAGCAACTGGACGGCCTTCTTGGCTAAGGAGAGCTCCAATCCCAACATGGGAAGCATCACATTCAACTTCAAAGAGCTTGTTAAAATCAGGTAAAGCCAATACCGGAGCCTTTGTCATCCTCATCTTTAGCTCTTGGAAGCTTTTCTCAGCTGCGAGAGTCCAAGTAAACTCACTTCCTTTCAAGCATTCAGTAATGGGTGCCACAATAGTGCTGAAATTCTTTATAAACCGATGATAAAAAGTTGCTAGCCCATGAAAACTACAAATTTCAGTCAAGGTCTTTGGTGTTGGCCACTCTTGAATAGCTTGAACTTTTTCTTGGTCCACCTCAATCCCCTTGGATGAAACAACATACCCCAAAAACACCAACCGATCTGTCATAAAATTACACTTCTTCAAATTTACGTATAGCTGATTTTGTCTCAAGACTTCTAGGATTGCTCTCAAGTGTCCTAAGTGGCTGTCATGATCTTTGTTGTAGATGAGTATGTCATCAAAATAAACTACCACAAACTTCTCCATGAATGGCCTTAAAACTTGGCTCATGAACCTCATAAAGGTGCTAGGAGCATTAGACAACCCAAATGGCATAACCAGCCATTCATAAAGACCTTCCTTAGTCTTGAATGCAGTCTTCCACTCATCCCCCTCCCGGATACGAATTTGATGGTATCCATTCTTCATATCTATCTTTGAAAAGACTTGTGAACCAGCCAATGTGTCTAACATGTCATCAAGGTGGGGTATGGGAAACCTGTATTTAACTATAATCTTGTTAATGGCACGACTGTCAACACACATACGCCAACTACCATCTTTCTTTGGTGTGAGCAAAGCTGGTACAGCACATGGGCTTAAGCTCTCACGGATTAGCCCCTTCTTCAACAACTTCGTTACTTGTCTTTGGAGATCCTCATTCTTCTTAGGGCTCATTCTATAGTGGGGTAGGTTAGGCAATGCTTCTCCCGGTATTAAATCTATATGATGTTGTACATCTCTTAGGGGTGGAAGGCCATCGGGTAGTTCTTTAGGCATCACATCAGCATACTCATGAAGTAGCTTCTTCACCAACTCTGGAACAATTGTTTCTTTGCTAACTTCTTTTGTAACCAACACGTAAACAACATCCAAATTCCCATCTTGAGCCAATTTATTTGAGGTGAAGAGAGTAGTGGTTGGCTTTGTTTCCTTCTTTGGAAATGAATCAAGTTGCATTGGTTTAAGAGTTATCTTCTTATTGTCTTTCACAAAGATGAATGTGTTCTTGTCCCCATAATGAATGGTCTTACGGTCATATTGCCATGGGCGACCCAAGAGAATATGGCATGCATCCATTGGGACAACGCCACACCATATCGATTCTTCAAATGTATTACCAATAAAAAAATTAACTAGGCATTTAGAAGAAACTCTTACCTCATTTCCTTTGTTGAACCACAAAATACGATATGGTCGGGGGTGTTGAACAATCTTGAGCTGTAATTTATCCACCATCTCTTAAGAAACAAGATTCTCACTACTCCCACTGTCAATAATCAGGTTACACAACTTCCCATCAGCTGTACAACGTGTTCTAAAGATATTCTTTCTCAACCAGTCCCCTGGTAGTGGTTCTTGAGGTGCAACCATAGAGTGTCGTATCACTAGAGCTTCATCCTCAATATCCCCATCCAAGTTTTCTTCCTCTAAAGCATTAGCTTCAGTAGTTTCAGCCACTTGCTCATCCTCAACATGGCTTATATCACCTTGTTGTTCATCAGTGACTTCATCAACCAAATGTGTTTGCCCTTCAATCATTCTCTTAGGACATTCATTTGAACGATGTCCCAACTCCATACACCTGAAACATCTAATAGTAGGCTGCCGTTGATTGCTTTTTGTTGCATTTGAAGTCGCTTGGACTGTAGGTCATGTTTGGTTGATCACACGACCCCTACCAGCCTCAACACTTCGACCTACTGATGAAGATGTACCTTGGACAGCACTTAGCCTCCGCCCTGAGCTCCATCTCAGTTGAGCTTCAACCTTTAGAGCTAGCTGATATGCATCCTTTACCTTATATAGGCAATGTAGGCTGACTTGATCTTGTATTGGCAACCTCAAACCATTGATATATCTACTAACTTTTTGCTGTTCAATTTCTGACATATTACTCTGAAGAGTTAATCTATTAAACTCTTTTGTGTACTCCTTCACACTCTTTTCCCGTTGCCTTAAATTCTGCACCCTTTGGTAAAGAGTTTGCTTGTAGTCTGGTGGTAAAAATTGGGATTTCAGATTCTCTTTCATTCTTCCCTAGGAACTAACCTTTCTTTTCCCCTTCCGTTCTCTGTGGTAATTTTTCCACCAATCTAAGGCTGTCCCATGCATCTTTGTTGTTACAAGCTTCACTTTTCTTTCTTCATTCATTTCTTTCCAATCAAAATAATTTTCAATGTTGTCCAACCAGTCTAGAAGCTCTTTAGGTTCCAACTCACCATCAAAATAAAAAATATGATGTTGAACACCATGACCTTGATTGGATTGTAAAGCTTGCACTATTCGGTCTTCCCACCGCTGGTTGTTATTCCTTCCATGCTGATCACCTTCAGGTTGCTCAATGTCTTCACTTGATTCTTCACTAATAATGTCAGTGAGTTGTTCATCAACTCTAGGAGCTTGTCTTCTTCTTCCTAGCCCCAAATCATTTTCTATGTCACCATCCCTAGCAGCATTTTGAGTTACAAGTTGAGCAAGATGTTCAATCTGTTCTTGCAGTCCTCTTATAGTCTCTTGGAAATCCTCTACAGTGACATATTGTGGTCTTCTACCACCCCTACCACGTCCACCCCTTGCAGCCATGATAATATAGAAAACACAAGAAGAAGATGAACTTTGAAGCAGACCCAAGTARAGAACTTTCTCTGATACCACTTGATGTGGATAGAAAGACAAGTTACATGCAGTACCTCAAGTATACAGCAGTAAGCACAAGAAATACCAAGTTGAAAACAACAAAATAAGTTGGATTTTTAGGGATTTCAGACCTGAACTTGAAGTAAAACTCCTCCTGGAACAGTTTCGCCATAGTAACAATGGCAGCAAGCTGGCCTCCCGCGCGGACACGCAGCGATGGAGGGATTGGAAGGTGCCAAAATGGGTCGTCTCCTCAAAACCCATTCTCCCAATGCTTGAAAACCCTAGCTGGGGCTGAGCTACAGTTCAAACAAGAGAGAAAGAACTAAAAAAAAACCTACAGAAACAGCCCCCTTCTCTTTTATAAGACTCATTGGTTTGCTGGACAAGCTAGTTAAAATATTTACACATAAGCCCCTAGAATGCTTCCCTCTCACCAACAACTCCTTAAGGAACAAAACTAACTTCAAATGAACACCTAAAAGATAACTTTTGTTACAAAAAGACTCAAGAGACCAAAACCCAACAGAAATGTACCCAACTGCCCCTGACCAAAAGCCTAACTTATAAAATGACGAAAATACCCCTGGTCCCAAACTGTCAACAAAGCTACCCAAAGACAACAATTTGGGATCCCACTAAAAAAAACCTGAAAAAAAGAATTCATTCACACATTTCTTTTTTTTTTCTTCTTTTTTTTTGCCTCATCAGTTATTAATTTCAATGGTGTTTTATTGTGTAAGTATATAATAAGCTCTGCAACATGGGAAAAACAAAAGGACTGTGCTAACATGGGTTTTGAAGATTAAAATATTCCATGGCCATGTTTGGTACTTTTTTTCCCTCTAAAACATTTTTCAGTTATAGGCACCATATATTTTATTATAAAACCCTTCAAATTAACACATCCCTTTGATTGCAGGAGTGATGTTCTGTTAAGACATTTGGAGAGTTTGCATGCTCGTAGTTTACTTGCTAGGATTGTTGTTGATGAAGCTCATTGTGTTAGCCAGTGGGGGCATGATTTTAGACCGGATTATCAGGTTTTAGCATTCCAAACTTTATTGCTTTTGGATTTTAGAGTTCCTTTTGTCTATGGTCTGGTGAACCTTTTACTCTTTTTATACCTTTCAGGGTCTTGGTATCTTGAAGCAGAAGTTCCCAAATACTCCTGTCTTGGCTTTAACTGCCACCGCAACCGCAAGTGTGAAGGAAGATGTTGTGCAAGCTCTTGGCCTTGTTAATTGTGTTGTTTTTCGACAAAGTTTCAATCGCCAAAATTTGCGGTTAGTGTTGAATTAGATGCTTTACTTTCTTTATTTTAATGGCTAATTACTGTTAAGATTGCAGGTATTCAGTAATCCCAAAGACAAAAAGGTGTTTGGAAGACATTGACAAATTCATTAAAGAAAACCATTTTGATGAATGTGGTATTATTTATTGTCTTTCACGAATGGACTGTGAGAAAGTTGCTGACAAGTTACAGGTTCATCTCTTTCTTTTGAAACAAATGGTTGCTTTTATCCTTGATATTGCAAAGTTTCTTAATATATATATATAGTTAAAATGTTGTAGAATGGGGTCTAAATAGTATGGTGTATTGAAATGGACTCAAATTTTGGCTAGAGATCATCTATATGTTGATTTTGGATTTCTAATTTTCTTTAATTATGGGCAGTTGACTTTGTTATTCACTCTTTATTCTGTTTGTATTCCATGAGTGGGGTTTGTGTTATATTTCCTTTGTCAATTATTAGGTTTATAGCTGTTTAAGGTTTTTACATAAAGTCGTTGTCCAGAGCAGTTTGGCGTTTCTTATTTTAGTGTGGCTGCCAACTTTTCTATGCTATTTTTATAAACACTTTTTTTATCACTTCGATTTAGTTGATGATCAAAGCTTATGACTGTTTTTGGCAAACCCTTACTAGACTAATTTATCAAACCCCAATAGTGATTTCTAGAATCTTGTATGGTAACTCTGGCTGTAACATTCTAGAGGTCACTGCTTGGCATGATGGTATCATTGTAAAATATTCTGTAATATGCCTGTGGACTATATTTTAGGATGATGCTAGGCTAGTGGTTCAGAACTATTAAGCATGGGACATAACATTATCAGTATATAGTCCTAAAATTGTTAACAATCAAGGGTCAGTTTGGACAAGTGCACAAGTGATGACACCCTTTTGTCTTTTTTAGTTGTTGTTTGTATCCAATTTTAAATGAGTAATAAGCTTGTCACTCTTTACTTGTTAGTTTGACAATGAAAGTTGTTTAATTGTTCAGGAATTTGGCCATAAAGCAGCATTTTACCATGGGAGCATGGATTCTCAGCAACGAACTTTTGTTCAAAAGCAGTGGAGCAAGGATGAGATCAATATAATATGTGCTACAGTGGCCTTTGGAATGGGTATTATTAATTGCCATCTTGGTTGTTTTCCTACCATTGCTATTCATATCCTGTATTAACCTGGGTATTTCAGGCATCAATAAACCTGATGTCCGATTTGTTATACATCATTCTCTTCCAAAATCTATTGAAGGCTATCATCAGGTACTAAATTTAATTTTCATAGTTATACTTTAAAAAAAATGACATATTTCTTAGTTTTCCATGAAACATTTCAATTTCCATGGATATTGACATGTCATTGGAATATGCTTCAACATATTCCCTAATATTTTAATATCATTTATTTATTTATTTTTGATCAGTGTTTTAATATCATTTATCTTGAACTGGATTGATTAATGTTTGAAGAAAGGAGAAATAGGAAGAAGAGAAGGGACAAAAGAAGAGAGAGAGAGAAGGGAAAAAGGGAACACTGGGCAGAGATTATTCCCTTTTACATCCTATTCTCACTAGAGTGAAAAAAGTACCTCTTACATGTATAGAACTACAATGCATCGATAATCCCCCTCAAGCCCAGCTTGACTAAGTGTCCACTAAATTTTGATTTGACCACAGCCTCAGTGAAATACATTAGCTAGTTGGTGTTCAAACTTCATAAAGGGTGTAACCTTTTCTTTGATGAAATGTAAATCCACTTCGATGAGCTTAATCCTATCATTTTGAGTAGGATTGTGAACAACACTTATTGTAGTCTAATTATCGACCCAAGTGACGCTGGCCTAAATGTTAAGAAACATAATGGACCAAGTCGGGCTGATCCAGTGGTTGGTTCGACCCAGCAGTGACCCAGCTCTTCTTTTCTAAGCATAGGTACTCCTGTCTTGAGCAAAAGAATAAAAAGCTTAGAGGGTGCCGATGTAGTGGTGATACAACTTCTAGGGAATCCCGGTTTTTTTGGTCGAGTTTAAGTGTTTTGTGACGAAATGTTCTTATGCAAGAGGGGAAGCAGAGGTACTCCTGTCTCGAGCAAAAGAATAGAAAGCTTAGAGGGTGCCGATGGAGAGGTGATATGACTTCTTGTGGGGGTGAGCTTAAGTGTTTCATGACGAAATATTCTTATGCAAGAGGGGATTCTTCAGAGAACAGACAAGGTAAAGCCCAAGAAAGTTGTTGTGCTCAATCAACATTGGAGCAAACTTGTGAAGGGCCTAGGGCTTGTGGAGATTTGGGTAGTGCAACAATGTCTTCTTGTCTTGATAAGTCTGAGGAAGACTTGGTTCTGCTCTTAGGTGCGGAGAATGAGCTACTTGATGACATGTATTTCAGCTGCAGTGCTTTGGAACACAGTTGCTCAACAATGAAAGTAGACTATGTTGACCCTTTCTGCTTGCTAAGTTTAATGAAGGAAAAGGATTAAAGCACACAACTAAAGAAGGTAGGGGGATGCGCTTGTATTGACTGTGGACGAGGGAAAGTTCATAGCCCTGAATCCTGATGGTGAGGTGGGAAGATTAGCCTGAAGAACCATACATGAGTGCAGATTTGCTATTTAATCAGGAGGGGCAGAACTCAGAGGGAGGGAGGATAACTAAAGATAATGGCCAGGTCTTAGAAATCATGGTGGGCAACTTAGGTAGAGATCTTGGTAGGAAGAAGCAGGGACCAAGGAAACTTGGGTTAATGAAACAGCATACCTCCTTTTCAAAATCATCAGTAAGCCCAAAGAAGGCAAGGAGCACTAACACTGGGCATCTAATTCACACTACCACGCTATTTTCCAGGCAGAAAGGTGAACTCATAAGTGTAGGTCCAAGTAGCAAATTTTATAGAGTGTATAGAAGGTAAAAACTGAAAGAAAAAACTTGTTTGATCAGTGGCATTTTTTCTAAGAATATATCGAACTGTTGTCCAGTTGGTGGTGAAAAGGGAGATAAATCAGTAGAGTTCACCGAAGAGGTTTTGGTAAAAGAAACGGTGTTGTCGAGAGAAGAGGATGATTTGGATAAAGAAGTTAATGAAGATGAAGAGGAAGAGGAAGGAGTGGAATTGGATAGCGATCGAAAAATTACGCAAAATGTGGATGTGGAAAAGGTGATGGAAACTGATCTTAAAGTGGGTAAAAAGATGTGCTTATTGGTTTTAGGAGGGGAAACCATGAGTGCTAAAGGGCCTTTATATGATTAGGGATAGTTTAGTTTCCTGTTTGGGGTGATTTTTTGTTGGGTGGGCATTCTTGGTATTTGTCAAATGAGAGTCTGTGTTGCTTCGGCAGCAAGTTTATTTATTTATTTTTTAAGGTTCTCAAGTGATATCTAACTACCAAGAAGGTGTTTCTTGTGTGAAGCTGTGCAGGAGAATGTGCTACATTTGTGCTTTGGTTGCTCTTTCTCAAAGCTCATTTGGGGGTGTCTTCGGGCTGTTTCAGATATCTAATATGGTGAATCCAAGGGCTCTTGGAGACACTCTTGCTTGTTGGCCTACAATGAAAGGAATTCTTAAGGCAAAGATGGTCTGGAGCTGTGTTCCTTTTGTCATATGTTGGGAAGCGTGGAATGAAAGAAACAAAAGGGATTTCTGAAATCATTCATCGAAGAAATGATAAACTCTCTTTTATGTGAGAAAAGGATAATCATTTGGGTGTTTATAATTCCAAAGTTTGAAGGGATTTCAAGGGAGGATCTTAGTGGTGGTTTTTGGTCTTATTCTTGAGGTGGATTTCAAACAGTTAATTTTGTATTTCTGTTTTTTCTTTGCTGTATACACATTGTGAATTGTTTATAGAGTCTAAGTTGTAGTGATTCCTCATCACCCTGGTTGATCTACCCTTCCTTTTATTAATATATTTTTTTTCTTTTTTGTTTATTACAAAATACTTTCATTGCTTTGGTCCCAAAAAAAGAATGGAGCAAGTCACCCAAGAGATTTTAGACCTATCAGCTTGGTAAATAGTTTATATAAAATCATTGCCAAGGTGCTATCTCTAAGGATTAGAGAAGTACTCCCCACCATTTATTTTCCTCAATCAAGGTGCTTTTGTTAAGCATCTTGGAAGTGTGGAGGACTTGAAAAGAGTTAGAAAAAAGGATTTGATTTGCAAGTTGGATTTGGAAAATGCTTATGATATTGGTTGTTTGTTCCTTCTTATTGGAAGCTCTACTTAGTTTTGGGTTTGGGGAGAGGTGGTGTAAATGGGTGTAGGGTTGCATTAGGACTTGCCACTATTGTATTTTGGTGAATGGAATTTTGGTGGATCACTTTCTTGCAACTAGAGGAATTAGACAAGGGATCTGCTATCTTCTTTCCTCTTTACTTTAGTTTTTGCAGTTTTGGGTAGACTATTGGAGATGGCAGATTCTAGAAACTTGGTGAGGGGGTGGAGAGTTGGAAGGGATAGGGTTCCAAATTTCCAATCACCCATTTACAGTTGGAAGATGATAGTATCTTTTTTTGTGAAGGAGATGAGGTTAGATGGGTTAGGAATTTGAAGATGGTGGTTAACTTATTTCAGCAAATGTCAAACATTAAAGTCAATTTTGATAAGAGTTGTGTATTTGGAATTAATACGACTGACAATGAGGTGGCAGAAAGGGCAAACATATTGGGGTGTGCAATCTCTTAGTGGCATTGGATTATCTAGGACTGTCCTTAGGGATAATCCAAGTAAGAACATCTTTCGGAGTCTGGTGGTTGACATATCCACAAAGAGGTTAGCTCCATGGAAGAACTGAAGAACTACCCATCTTTGGGGGGTGGGATTACATTGATCAAGTCTACCTTGGCCAGTTTGCTAGTTTATCTCTTGTTAGTGTTTAAAATACTAGGGGGTGAGTGGATGCTTGGTAAAGCTGATGAAGGACTTTTTGTAGGAACCGGGGGAAGAGAGAAGAGATCATAGAGTCAATTGGGAGGTGGTTACTAGAAGAGTGCTGGTGGGTTAGTATTTGGAAATATCCAAAAAAAAATGATGCTTTATTGCGAAAATGGTTGTGGAGACTGACAATGGAGAAGGATAAGTTGTGGGTTAAGGTAATTTTAAGCAATTCATGGGTAAGCGGTTGATGGTTTGGACGTGGGAGTATTTGCCAGGGCTACAAGAGCTTCTCCTTGGAAATTTGTTCATGCCATTCTTTTGCCTTTTTTTTTGCCTTTCATTAGGTATGACTTATGCTGTTGTAACCTTGTGAACTATTGGGAGCATGTATGAGTGGGGGACTCACCTTTGAAAGAACAGTTCCCATCCTTGTTTTCCTTCTCAAGAGATAAAAATGAGCTAGTTTCTACTTTCCTAGTTCCTTTTAACTCAATTTATGGGTTTGAGCGGGATCTGGGTTTTAGAAGGGGTCTCAAAGATTCTGAATTGAACAATGTTTCAGTCTCAATTCAAGTTTTGGATTGGGTTGTTTTAGATCCTTTAAGGGGGGATAACCGGATTCATACTTTGTCTCCCTTGGTGCCTTTTCTTGTGCCTCGTTCTTTAGGGCATTAGTTCAGACCTTTGATGTCTTGGGGCAATCTTTTCCAATGAAGGAAGTTTGGGGTAAACAAATCCCTCCCAGGATAGGAGCATTTTGTTAGGAAGGTTACTAGATAAAAATATGTTAGGGTGGCTGTTATTGGAATACCTAAAATTATAAATAACAATTTGGTAAGCTTATTACTCCATGATTTTGCAGGAGTGTGGTCGTGCTGGTAGAGATGGTCAACCTTCATCTTGTTTATTGTATTACAGCTACAGTGACTATGTAAGTTGCAGGTTATTGCTATCAAGTAATCTTCTTTTTCATTGTCCTTATTTTCTGCATTTTTTGTTGCCTTCCCAGATCCGAGTTAAACACATGATCAGTCAAGGAGTCATAGAGCAAAGTCCACTGGCATTAGGATCAGGACGTATTTCTGGAACAAATGCTGGGAGGATATTAGAAACAAATGTTGAGAATCTTTTGCGTATGGTATTTTGCATTTGCTGCTTTCTTGTGGTCATCTCCATGATTTGAATAGAATATTTGTTGGCGTGCTTAATCTGTTGTTTCTTAACAGGTCAGCTATTGTGAAAATGACGTTGATTGTCGACGTCTATTGCAACTTGTACATTTTGGAGAAAAGTTTGATCCTGCAAACTGTGGGAAAACTTGTGATAATTGTTCCAAGGCTGTAAATTATGTTGATAAGGATGTTACTGACATAGCAAAGCACTTGGTAATGATTAGGTCCTCTTTTGTTAATTCATGCATTTCCTTGCTACCCAGTTTATATTGGAGGTTTACTTTGTTTTGACCTTTTTTAGTTGTTCCTATACAACACATAGGTTGAATTGGTGAAGTCAACAGGGCAGCAGCATTCATCATCACATATACTAGAAGTCTACAGGGGTTCCATGTGTCAAAACGTATGTTCTTACAATTATGAATTTCAACTGTATTTTATTTTCCGTAGATTATTAAGGCTAGATGTTCTTGTTTGTTTTAATTTTAGGTTAAGAAGTACAGACATGATAGGTTGAGTGTTCATGGAGTTGGAAAAAGTTTACCTAAGGGATTTGCTTCTCGAATATTGCGCCACCTTGTTATTGAAGATATACTTACTGAAGATGTTAAGAAAAGTGATATCTATGGATCTGTTTCATCAATTTTAAAGGTATCTTATGTGTCAAGTATTGTAATGAAATTTAATTTTCATGCTTGGTTTATGAACTGTAATTTTTGCAGGGGAGAAAGAAAAGTTGCCCTGGTTTTACATTGTAAAGCTATTTATTATGTTTCTTCACTTTTGGTCCTCAGATAAATGAATCAAAGGCATATAATCTCTGCTTTGGAGGACGGAAAATTATTTTAAGGTGTGGTGTTCTTCTCTTCTCTGTTTTCTTGTAGTTATGTCTGCTGCTTGTTGCTTGGATTTATGGCCTTCTCTTATCTTTAAGGAATAAGTTTGGACCAATTTTTTTGGCAGTTGGCAGCTTTTTTTTTTCTTTTTTGGTAAAGTTAATTGGACTACACAACAGGGGGTAGCCAATTCTTAATGTTAGCATAGGGGTATTTCTGTCTTTATACTTGTTGAGGTTGCTGATCTGTATTATTATGTTAGAACTAGTGTCTCTTACTTAAATAAGGGCACTTGTGTCTTTTTCGTTATATTAATAATATAAAAACATGTCTGGCCGAATTTAGCCCTACTGCATATGAAGACTTCGATGAGACCCTTGCAAAAATCAGACAAATTGGCTCAGTAAGAGAATACCAAGTTGAGTTTCAGAAAATAGCAACCCGAGTTACCGGTTGGATTGAGAAGGCTCTAGTCGGGATCTTCATGGGGGGCTTGAAGGAGGAGAAAAAATTAGAAGTGAAGGCCTGGAGACCCACTATCGTCCTGGCGGCAGCTGGCCTTGCGAGGCTATAGGAGGAAAAGCTGAATGGAGTTAGGCGGCTAAGCCGATTGGTTGGACCCATTTTAAGAACCCCGACCCAAAACCAAAAATCCCTAGTTCTTCCTGCACCAAGATTCAAGGCCCAGCAACTCTTCCCTTCAAGCGACTAACTTGTGCCGAGATGCATGCCTATAAGGCCCAACAGGCCTTTCTCTTGCACACTGATGATTCAGACAATGAAGAGAATCCACAGTGTGCCCAAGACCCATTAGAAAAGGAAGACGCCAGTGACTTGATGGTTATAGGGACCCCTGAAAAATCACTACAGGCCCTGATCGGTCAAAAGACCCCTCAGACTATGCGGGTAAATGGACTGCTCCTTGGTCGGCCCATATTGGTGCTCATTGATAGTGGCAGCACCCTAAATTTTGTGACACAACTGTTAGCTCAGCAATTAGGACAGGTCATTCAGCATGCCTCCCCCTTTGCTGTTCGTGTGGTCAACGAACAACGAATCTACTGTGAGGGGGTGTGCTCAGACCTGAACTTAAAGATACAAGGTCACCCATTCAAGGTAGATCTCTACCTCCTTCAGTTCTCAAGTGCAGATGTAGTTTTGGGGGTCTAGTGGCTGTGCCAACTGGGACCCGTTATATGTGATTTGGAAGCCATGATGATGGACTTTACGATCCAAGGGGAACACCATCATTTGCAAGGCATTACACCAGAACCTCCTTGGGYTGAGAGCTTCCAGTCGTTATTCAAGGCCGAGCTGAGGTCTCAACAGCCCACATTGATGAATTTAGGCCCAACCCCTATCAATCCTATTTTGTCATCAACTCAATGTTGGCCCCATTGAGCAATTACAACAGATCCTATCCCAGTATTCTGATGTGTTCTAGGAGCCTAAATGCTTTCCCCTAATCCGACCCCAGGACCACCGAGTTCCAATTATCCCCGGATCCCATCTAGCTAATGTACACCCTTACAGATACCCCATCCAAAAAGAGGAGATAGAGAAGATTGTCTCTGAGCTCCTAGACAAGCAACACATCTAGCCCAGCAACAGCCCTTATTCCTCCCCTGTCCTCTTGGTCAAAAAGAAAGATGGAGCATGGAGATTTTGTGTAGACTATAGGGCATTAAACAACATCACCATCAAGGATTGCCTTCCCATCCCAATCGTTGATGAACTTCTAGATGAGTTAAGGGGGGTGAGGGTGTTCTCCAAGCCAGATCTGAGGTCGGGGTATCACTAAATAAGGGTCCACCCTGATGATATTCCCAAAACAGCCTTTCGGACCCACGATGGTCATTATGAGTTTCTTGTCGTGCCCTTTGGGCTGACAAATGCTCCATCGACATTTCAAGCCGTGATGAATGAAGTGTTTAGGCCCCACCTCTAGAAGTTTATTCTTGTCTTCTTTGATGATATACTGGTATATAGTTCAAATTGGCCCACTCAACTTTAGCATTTATCCATCGCCTTGGACCTTCTGAGGCAACACAACTTCTTTGTTAAGGCATTCAAGTGTAGCTTTGTACAGAACTGGATTGGTTATTTGGGCCACATCTAGGGGTGGATTCGAGCCGAATTGAGCCGAATAGCTAGTTATTTGAGCTCGGCTCACCAAGGTAGTATGAGGCTTGAGCTCGAGCTTGAGCTCGGTTCGAGCTAGAACCTTGAGCTCGAGCTCACATAAGCTAGAGCTTGGCTTGACTTGAGCTTGACTTAAGAAAAATGTTTTATAAAAATAAAAATATATTTTTTATTTAATATTTAAAAAATTAAGAATTATAATAATTAGTTATTATTATATATAAAATAAAAATATTATATATAATATTTTTATTATATATATTATTTTCTATAATTTTATATTTATTATTATTGTATGTATGTATGTATTTGAGCTCAGCCCGCGAGCCTCACGAGCCAAGCTTTATTAGGTTCGAGCTCGGCTCAATTAATAAATGGGCATGTAAATTGGGCTCGAGCTCGACTCGAAGTCCGGTTGAAACTGAGCCGAGCCGAGCTCAAGTAGCTGGTGAAGAGCTCGGCTCGTGGCCACCCCTAGCCACATCATTACGGATGGGAAGGTAATAGTACACCCCTCCAAGATAGCTTGCATGGTAAATTGGCCCTCACCCAAGACACAAAAAGGCTTGCAGGGATTTTTGGGCCTTACCGGTTACTATCGCAGATTCATAAAGGGGTATGGGATGTTAGCAGCCTCACTTACCAAATTACTTCACAAGAACTCCTCTGAGTGGACTTCACAAGCCTGACATTGGTCTTACCAGATTTCTCAAAGGTGTTTTTAATTGAGTGTGATGCTTCTGGGAATGGATTGGGTGCTGTCCTCATGCAAGAGGGTCAGCCCTTTGGCCTTCTTTAGCTAGGCCTTGTCTCCCCAAGCTCAGGCTAAATCAGTCTATGAAAAGGAGCTGGTAGCAATTGTCTATGCAGTTCATAGATGGAGAGCTTATTTACTGGGCCAACGGTTCATCATACGAACTGACTTGTGAAGCCTCAAGCACTTGCTGGAACAGCATATCCACATTACTCAACAATAGAAGTGGTTAGCCAAATTAATGGGCTACAATTATGTCATAGAGTACAAACCTAGGTGTGGGATGGAGTATCCATGGATTTCATTTCTGAGCTTCCCTCATCACTAGGTAAGTCCGCTATTATGGTAGTAGTGGACAGGTTAACTAAATATGGGCATTTCAATACCCTATCGCACCCCTACAGTGCATCTCAAGTAGCCGAGGCTTATGTTAAAGAAGTTGCGAAACTGCATGGTACTCCTAAGGCCATTATCTTTGACTGGGATCCTATTTTTCTTAGCCAATTTTGGACTGAATATTTCAGGTTGCAAGGTACCAGGCTTCACCACTCTACCAGCTATCATCCTCAGTTTGATGGTCAAACTGAGGTTCTCAACCGAGGTTTGGAAACATATCTTCAATGTTTCATAGGTGAGAAGCTTCTTCAGTGGGCCCGATGGTTGCCATGGGCTGAGTTCTGGTATAATACTTCCTTTCATGCAACCATGTGTATCACACTCCCTTCAAGGCCCTCTACGGGAGAGATCCACCACCCATCTTGCCGTTTGAAGTAGGGTCCACTTAAGTTGCCTCAGTTGAGGAAACTCTCATAGCTAGAGATCAGTTGCTTAAGACATTGAAATTCCATTTGAGAAAGGCCTAACAGCGTATGAAGTCCTCGTATGACAAGAAGCATAGGAAGGTAGAGTATCAAGTGGGAGAATTTGTCTACCTTAAACTTCAACCCTACAAACAAGCATCCCTTGCAAAAAGAACATGGCATAAACTTTCACCTAGATTCTTTGGGCCATTCAAGATCATGGAAAGAATAGGAGTAGTGGCGTACAAGCTTGAACTACCTACCAGTTCTAAACTACACCTAGTCTTCCACGTCTCTTTTCTCAAAAAGAGCCTAGGCCCTAAGCGCAATGTTACTAGCAAGTTGCCAGAATTTTCAGAAGAAGGCCATGCCGTCACTCAGCCGCAATGCATCCTTGATTATTGCTGGGTAAAGTCAGGAAAGGAGGTGGTTCAGGAAGCTCTCGCCTCTTGGACTGGTTTGCAAGCTGAGGAAGCCACTTGGGAGCCATACAAACCATTGCTGGAATTATACCCACACCTCGGCCTTGAGGACAAGGCCTTGCTTGAGGAAGGGGGAGATGTTAGGACCCCAAACCCAAAAAGAAAGCCAGGCCCAATTGGATGGTGTTAGGACCTAAAGCCACTATAGTCGAGTATTAGAAGACAAAACCATGTGCATGGTCCCTATCTCGTTGCACTAATATTAATCATGAGGGAACAAGTATATCAGTCCTTAGGTCAGCTTTATGTCTTGCCATAGTGGCTCTCATTGACTTTCATAAAGTCAGATTCAAATGGGCCCTAAATGGACTAGGGTTTCCACGGGGTTCCTCTTTGGAGAAAAAACAGGAGAAGGGCCCATTAAAGGGAGATCATACAATGAACCATGGACGTCATGGCAATGATGTGCATTCAGCCATGATGGGCGTGGCCACATAAGTCTTTTATGGGCCAAGCACTTATGGCCCATGTACGAATTACATTCACATAACAAATCACCCATAATTTGATCAAAATGAAATTAAATCTTGTAAAACCTACATCCATTTAGATTAATGCATGACCATCCCATGAATGGACCCAATTATCTAATAATATTTATCTTGGTATATGAGTCCAACTGCAAAAGACAGCTTGGCCCATATAGCTGTCCATGCTGGAATGGGCTATTCTTGTTTTAATTTAAGTCAACTTAGGTTTTACAAGCGTGGGCCGAATTGGTCCATGTAATGGGCCATCAAACCCCTAGCCTAGATCCAAAATTGATCACTTAAATTGTGATCCAAGGGGCTGTTAACAGTCCCCAAGTAACCATAGGTTTGGCCCATGTTAGACCA